ATGAACACATTTACAACACTATTTTCATGCAGTATGTAGTTTGGCATTGTATTTCTCACATAAGCAAGGCCTTCCCTGAAAAAGACATCACCTGGACGGCAGCATAAGTTGCTCAAAAACCTGTATATATCATTCAGCATTAATGATGCCTTCACAGATGTTAAAGTCACCCATGCCATGTGCACTAATGCACCCCCATACCATTATGGATGCTGGCTTTTGAACTGTGTGCTGATAACAAGCCAGATGATGCCTCTCTTCTTTAGCCCGGAGGACGCAGCATCCATGATTTCCAAAAATCATTTCAAATTTTGATTTGTCAGACCACAGGAAACTTTTCCACTTTGCCCAGAGAAGGCAGCAACGTTTCTGGATCCTGTTTATTTATGGTTTCTTTATTGCATGGTAGAATTTCAACTTGCGTTTGTGGATGCAGTGATGAAGTGTGTTCAAAGACAATGGTTTTTACTGCAGAATCATGTCTATTTTTGACGCAGAGCTGCATGATCAGAGCTAGCCAATATTGGCGTCCAAACTTTTTCAAAAAGGTGTTGTACTTATACATAGAAAAAAAATGGTATGTCATTTTAATACTGTATTTACATTATTTATTTATTATTGTTATTATTATTATTATTATTATTATGTTATTATTATTAATATTTTATTTATTATTATTTATTTTTCTTAGCAGTCTGCCAACCAAATAAAATTCCTGGGTCTTACCTGACCACCCCATTCTTAAAGTTCTATCTACGCCCCTGCAGTGTGAAACGCTGTGCAGATATCTGTAGTGCATTGTTACAGGCCTCAAGTTGTAGGGGAATCAAGAGGGGTAGTGAGTGATAAGTAGGAATGCCATAGTTTGATAGAGCTGTATGCACTGAGTAGTTTACTATGAACAGTTATAAAGTAGATTACATAGAGCACTGAAAAGGAAACCTTTCAAAAGCCAGCGGTTTCTAATGGTAAACTTGTGTGACTGGGGTCAGATCATGACACTGTTATTATCTAGCTTTAGCGCAAACATCACATTGCATCCAGTTCTCCATGCTTTGCTTACAAATGTTTGTTTGTATGTGAAACACATTAAATTTTAACAACTTGTTTAATCTTTATCAAGAGAGATGGCAGCACCATTAGGACAGTCAGCAGCCAATTTACTCACCCTAATGAGAAATGAATGCTATGTCATTTGCTTGTATTTGGAAATCTATTGATTCTGATGAAGCATCATGAGAAATATAATCCCCACACTTTTACTGTGAAATCAAAGAAAGTCTGACTGTGTATCATATGTGAAGGACAAAGGCAGTAAATCTGTTGCTGAGATGTTACAAATTATTATTTGATTCATTAAAAGAGAATAATTAGCTTATATTTTAAATGCAGGCCGTGCTCCATAAATATCCCATAGCAGAACTGATATCTGAGCTTTATTTTGCATGTTCTGGCCACATTGTTCAAGTCATCATCTATACTGTAATCCGAAAATATCCATTAACATCCTTTATAATTTGTGAATTCAGCTACTTTCATGTGCACCCGTTGCTGATACAAGAAAAGCAGTGCCAATAGAATGGGATGGGTCACCATGTCCAATACCAAGGGTTTGCCACAGAGATAAAAAGCTCCCCAGCCCTGGATGGTGGAGCAGTGGAACTGTGTTCTCTGGAGTGATGGAGCATCAGTGAATACTGTTGGGGTGAGTTAGAGTGGAGTTTGTGATCCAGAACTAATCATCTAACATCAGCACCTGACCTCACTAATGTTCTTATTGCTAAATGCAATCAAGTCCTCACATCAATGTTCCAGTATCTACCGTAAAGCCCTCACAGAAGAGTAGAGGCTGTTACTGCAGCAGAAGGGAAACAAACTCCCTATTAATACCTTTGATTCCAGGAAGGTTATATGAGCAAGTGTTTATAAATCTTTGGACATATAGTGTATCTGAAATTTATTTTGTTTGCTCTGGCCTCAAATTTATCTGTTTCTATCCATCATCTAGCAATCATCCATGTCTTTCAACAAGAAAAAGACAGGAGGCACCACATCCAAAACTTGTAATATTCTCATTAACAGGACACAAAGTAGCTCGTTTGTTTACCAAAACATCTCACTGATAAGACGCCAAAGTAAATGTAAAGGATTTGTAACGTGCGTAAACCTGAACCTATCATTTTTCTTTAAAGTGGTAGTTCAGGCTAACATTAAGTAGGAGCAGTTGAAAGTAATTTCATTAACATGTGACTCCTTTGTTCAGCGCTGTCTCTCATTGAATTCCATCTATGGTCTTGATTGCTGTACTTACAGACGCTGATTGTGGGGGTACAGCTGATGGAGGCGGGAAGGTTTGTTGGCTTTGTTTCCATAGATATGGGATGTTGCTAGGCAGCAGACGGGATGCTATGGAAGCCAAGTGAAGCAGAGCAGCGGGTCACTGCAGAGAAGAGAATCTGCACCCACACACCTTTCATCTGGACTAAAACACTCAGGAGAAAGAGAGAAGAGAGATGCAGAGTGAGAGACAGGTAGACTGAATGAAGCACCGTATATGTTCGAATATGTATGGCAGAAAATAATGACAATTATTAATGAGGGAACAAAACAAGCTAGACAGAGAGAGAGAGAGAGAGAGAGAGAGAGAGAGAGAGAGAGAGAGAGAGAGTTGTTATTATACAGCTGACTAAAACAAAAGCATGCGACTCAATAAGTATGACAAGAAATAATGACAATTATTAATGAGGGAACAAAACAAGTTAGACAGAGAGAGAGAGAGAGAGAGAGAGAGAGAGAGAGAGAGAGAGAGAGAGAACTATATCTATAATGTATGATGTTGGTAATTATATGTAATAATGTTATAATACAACTGATTAAATTAAAAACGTGCCTCAGTATGAATTACAATTCATAATGAGAGAAAAAATAGGTTAAGAAAAAGAAGAGAGAATGAAAGAGAGAGACAGAGAAAAGAGTGCTATTATTGTTGTAATCTAAAATTATTTTATATTTTTTTCACTGCAGTAATTCATGTGACTATGATGTATTAACAACTATAAAGTAATACAAGTGAAAATAATACTTGACAGAAAAAAAACACAATAATTACAATAATTAATAATGAGAATATGTAAGCTTGGGGAGGCGGGAACAGAGAACGAGAAAAAAGAGATATTCTAATTATAATATGTACATTTTCAAAACACGTTATATATGTATTAATAATAATGTCAAAATATATTACTATAAAGTAATACCGGTGATTAAAATAACAGCTTGTTCCAGGTTCCTCAACATGCACAACAGAAAATAATGATAATTGATAATGAGAAAATGCAAGCTTGACAGAGAGAGAGAAAGACAGAGATGGAGATCGAGAGAGAGAGAGAGAGAGAGAGAGAGAGAGATGGAATTGTTATAATACGGCTAAAAGAAGAGCAATCACGGAGGTACTGCAGAGTCTGACCCATTTTCATTCTCTGAGGAGCAGATCTGGAGCAGATGTTCTAGCACACACAGAGTGTCAGGCTGGAGGCTCATGGTAGCCCATCACACTGCAGTCACATAACCTCAAATCTGGGTCGAACCAAAATCAAACCAGTGCCTGTGACACTTCTCTGCACTGAGCAGAACAGTAAAGAAAACCGTTGGTGTAGTGTAGTGGTTAACACCTCTGCCTTCTACGCTGTAGGCTGGGGTTCAATCCCAGGCTGGGTAAGCACCCTACACTACACCAAAAAGAGTCCTTGGGCAAAACTCCCAACACTACCTTTGCCTACCTGCATAAAATGATCAAATTGTAAGTTGCTCTGGATAAGAGCATCTTCCAAATGCCTTAAATGTAAATGTAAGGAAAACTAAAACACAGTGTGAATCTATGTTCTGGCTCAGTGTAAACAGTTGGTACTTTACTTATCTGTGCTCACATGTTTTGAAAGTGGAAGGGTCTGCATTTAAATGTGTTTTATCTTTATTCCCAATATTGTGTGAGACTGTAAAATAAGGATAGGTAATACATCTACTGTAACAGTGTACCGTGATATTGCTTTTTAGTTAAAGCAAAAGTTCAGTCAAATTAATGAGCACTATAACCATGATATAAAGCCAATGGCATGCCAGGCTTGTAAGGCATTCGTTTAGCTTAGAGTAGCAGTACTCAGAGGGCATGGTATTATTATGAATGCAAACTTCAATAACACCTGGTACGATGATACTTTGCTATATTTGCAAAATATCATGCTAGTGAATTTTTTCGATATTGTCCAACTCTATTGTAATAGTGTTTTTATTATTTACTTATTTTTGAGGATGTTTTGAGGATGTTCCTTCTCTTGAAAAACTATACATAATGTACTTAAAACACATGCGCCACTTTTGTCTTACCACATCTCTTAAACACAAAAAGCAAATGACCCAAATGTATAGGTTAGCCCTTCTGAAGCTGGGGGTTAGTCATTATTATCTCATATACCTTGCCCCCGCTTTACATTTCATGTTTATTTTCATCTGCAGAGGAGTTATTGTGGCCGGATGCTGTCCAGCACACTGCCTGCTTTTAGGAAGTGAGTGATTTGAGAGAGGGCAACAGGGAGCCCATCTGCTTGCATTAAATCTCTTCCACAAAACCCCCAGTACATAAGCTCCTTACATAAAGAATAAAACAGAGAGTAATCTCTTTCTCTCCCTCTCTCCTGTCCACTCTGTCCTCCACCTCCTTGATTACCCTAATTCATTTTCTTCTTTTCAAAAGTCATGGCCTGTAACTGACTGTGTTCTATAGCACAGCATTGTCTGAGATGTGATGTCAGTGTGTGGTTTGAGCCTAAGCTGTACTTTGAAAGGTACATGGAATGTATAAAATCATGGGACATTTTCTTTGAAAGCTTTCTGCTGAACGTGGTATTTGGAATATGGTACTGCAGCTTTAAATGCCACTTCAACGACCACTTGGCTCAGACTGTGACGTAGCCAGCTACAGTTGTGTGGGGGGGAAAATATGGCGCAAAAGAAATCACATAATTTGTCCGGCAGCCTGTACTGTAACTTCTGTCCCATTTATACGCGTGTTAATGTGGAAAGGTACACGAAATTAGTCTTTCTGATTAGGACAATCGCGTAAATATCTGCGTAAATTCATCGCTCGCCTCAACGCTGGTAACTCGTGTGTTTTAATTTTTCGACCGCATCACTTCCTTTCGCTCTGTAAACACCGTATCCCTCCACAGCAACGAGATAGTGCCTTACGTCATTTTCCTTCAGCATGCCCACGTTTGTTTTCTTTATGGCTCGCGCTAGTAACTTTGAAATATTAAGGAGAAAATATCATTAAAATATCAAACAAGCGAATTTCATATTTAAGTATCGGATTCACATCAGGACAAAGAATACTTTACAGTCCACAGTTTATTCTGTCTCTCTCGCTCTCTTTCCTTTAAATCAGCTAACTTCGTAAATCGACTCCACCAGCGTCTCTGAGCATATTATTTTTGGGGGGAGGGTTTGCTGCGTTTTATGCCGTTACGGGTTGTTCCGTTGTCGGGTATATTTACGATGTTCACCAAACAGAAACCACATGTCACATAATCGACGCAAACGGGCATTACAGTATACATAACCGTGTGGACAATAATTGTTGAAACTGCGTGAAGTTTGAGCTTGTCTTCTTTTACAAACACACAGGCGGATGAATACAGGTAGCTAAAGCTCCAGCATGATCTCTCAAGTCCTTCCTATTTCACCTTAAGCCCTCGCCTACCGACTTCGCCTTTGCAAGTAAGCGGACCGATTATTTGGACGTGATTGGTTGAGGGCGATTAAAGTCCGCCTCCTATTGGCTATTCGTATGTCAATCATATAGCAACGCCAATCATGGTAGATAGGACACCTTGTACACTGTATCATTTGGCTGAGCAAAGCTAGCTAAACAATTATCTGGAGCACCAAGGGGAAGGAGTTTAGTAATTGGTGCTAACTTCGGCTGTACTCGTTTTGTCGACGTTTTGGTTGTGTTTTTTTTGTCTTACGAGTGTATCCAGGTCGTGGGAAACCTCATCGCTGCCTTACAGATGTGGATACAGTAGCTACTCTGGGTGAGTGTCTCCAGCTAACCAGGCAGTAGGCGCTAGCCTGCTATACAGATAGATTAGCTTCCTTTGCTAGCTCCGCTTATATTTCTGAGGATAACGTTTGCTTGCCGCCGGCTACTTTTCGTTTTATATATTTAACGAAGCCACCCGGATGTGTCCTATCACTGCAAATGATTTCTCCTGTGTTCTGCTGGAATGGATATCACCCCAAAATGGAGGACTAGCTAGCTAGCTGGCTGGCTAACGTATCTCGCTCTGTGTCGGCATCGCATCGGTTTTCTTTCATGTTGCCTGCTGCTGTCAAGGGTACTTGGCCGAGTGTTCAAAGACAGCAGCGGCAGCTAGTTCACAACAAACCGTTGATAATTTGTCGACGGATAATTGTAAACTGTGCGAGATAGATAGTCTCCGTCGTTTGAAGGTTTGAAGCCAAGACGCAGGCTGTGTTGCGGCAGGCGGACAGTCGAATGTCAGATTTGGTCGTCGCTGTACAGACCTGTCAACACGATTTGGCTGCAGTCCCCACCCCCCCTAAATTTGTTCATCATCCCACTGTTCACTCACTTCTGAAGCGAACTGTACTTTTATGTTCGCCGATTATGCTTTTCTTTGTTACAGAAACGAGTGACAGATCACTCTTATTTCAGCCGATAGCATTTTTTAAAGAGCTGCTGTCAAATTCACACCAGCTATCCAAGCGAAGGCAACGGAGATGTTAAGCTTGGTTGAGGCAACTGGCAGGACACCTTTTAACAAATCTATGCCAAAAGTTGGTGGTGCCTACGCAGTGCTGTCACACCAGCACTCTATCAGTGTTATGCAACACAATGTGTTTTTTTCTTCATGGCTTCAAGTTCTGAAGAGCTTACTTTAAAAAAACTTAAGGATCACCTTGGGTGAACCTCTTCCCGTTATAAAGTCTAATGCAGACTAATACACCGAGTCTTACTGTTTTCACTTGTGAGTTGTGAAATGCTGAGGGCCCTCTATGGTTGCTCTCACTGCCTCATATCTGCTTTTCTGTTATTATTAACTTGCTTGACCCATTTCACCCCCCCTCTCCATGGTTTGTCTTGTCTAAGGTGGTAAGTTAACACAACTTTGACCCAGATGTCTTTTTATCTGTTAATTCATTTATTTATGAAGATCCATTCTTGGAATGGCCTCAATTTTCCGGCTCTCCCATCCAAGGCATGCTCATTATGAGACAAGCTCCTCAGTCATGCAGTCAGGTAATGTGTGTCGTGATTCGCAGCAGGGTGTCACATGGCGGAAGCTTTGTCCCTAGAGCCGCAATCCAGTTACTGGCACCCACCTGGGGTGCTGAAGAGAGATATAGATCAGACTCCGATCCAGTGCTCTCAGCTGCCTACAAGATTGTCTTTGATGTTTTTGGCTGTTTTTTTGGTGTCCATAAAGGTCAGCAGTAACAGTGCCTGACCCTTTTGAGGATAAGCAGTGCTTGTTAATGGTATGTCTGGGAGTTTGATGCTGTTAAGATTGATCATAGCATCACCAGGAGAACACATTGAAATGTCTCAGTACTTTGCTCTGTGTTTTTGCCAGTGTTGGTCTACAGTACGCAGACCTTAAAAGCTATGAATGTTGGCATGTAGCCTAGGCAGGAAGACATCACGCAAGAGTGCTTGATTTACCAAAACATCAGTGATTCATTGCTGACAAAACCTGGCAAACAGCTGGTGTTAATGCTGTTTCAGTTATTAGCCTTTCCTAAATTACATTCCTTCTTATCCTGTCTATGCTTTGTCACGACATACTGGCTGAAGGCATTCTGGCTCCACTTTTAGTCCTTACACGTACACTGTTGTTAGTGTAGAACATGCTTTTCCCAAACCTAGCTTTTTGTGACAAGTATTGCATTTGCAAGGCCAGATTAAGGCTACAATGGCTAGTCCACACAGAGAAATGTTCGATAGTCATCTCTGAATCGCCTCTGACGCTTGTTTATTTGTCTGTGTAAGAGGACCTCTGCTCTCTTTAAAAGCAGGAAGTGAAATCGTTTCTTCTAATGTGGATAAGTTTTTGCCATACTGTTTTGTTCCAATTAGACAAAAAAAGTTTTTGGTTATATATGATGTGACACAAATGTAGTTTTAAGCCTCTGCTATTTGTGTAGTAATGTTTTTGAGATGACAAATATATAGCATCACAGTACAAGACATTGTAATGGCTGTACAAAAAGCTGCCTGTATGTCATAGTGAACATTTTAGGACATCCTCAGAACAGTGTTTCAGACATCAGAAAGCAGCTCCAGGTCTTGGGAAAATCACTTTAATAAAACTGTGTCTCAGCTCTCGTACATCAGGTGAAACATGCTGTTTCAAACAGCCTCAGACGGAGTGGCTTCAGAGGAGAAGGCATCAGGATAAGCTAAGCGGCTTCGAATGGCAAAGTTCATGTGATATTCACAATTCCATTCTTTCTTACTAGATTAAGTATAATTTCATGGCCAAATAAAAGCTCAAAATAAATTACAATCATAACTTTGCCTTTTATTATGTTCTTTTATTTCACAAAGTCTAAGCTTCAACTCGCACGCAGAGCAAACTCACTGTGATCGCTCCTGCATCTGCTTCAGTGCAAGGTGCAATCTCAAAATTACCAGATGAAAAAGTGTTGCTATTATTATTTCATTTTATAAATTGTTGTCTTTGTTACACTTAGTTATTTTATTGCTATGCCTGTAACATTACCTTTGTGGACAAAAGTCCCAACTCTGTTTACTAAAACAACTACAAATGTGACTAAATTATCTATGTAATATATGGACAAATCTCCAAATTCCACACATTTTAGTGGTAATATCCGAAATCCATTATATGTTTCAGTTCTGTGAGTCCGTTTGTGTTCTCTGCATCACAGAAATCATAGAGCTCTGAGTACATGATATTGTATTACACTTACTTACACTACTGTGTCTTAACCTTAAAAAAAAGATTTCATTTGGACGTATTTGAATTTAAAATTGTCTTCCAATGTACTTTTTTTGTGTGCTGCCAAATTTTTGTGCAACTGAATTTTTAACCTGCTAACCTCACTGCGCTCACCTAAAAGAGCCTACAGTCTTATGTTAATGTTGGCCAAAGTCCTTTTTGTTGTTGCTTATGTTTTTGTTCCCTGCGGTTAACTGAATATTAATTCATTATTTTTAGTACATTCATGAATATCAAAATGAGTCAGAAAGTGCATCCCTGGTGTATGTACTAGTTCACCTTCAGCAGAGCTTTTGATACTTGCCTGAGATTCACTGGCTGAGAGTTGTAGCGCCACCTAGTGAAAAAAAAAATCTGTATCTGTGTAGCTGTTTAATGCTGCCTTATTTTGCCCTTTCTACTTCAAAATGGCCTCTGTGTCAGTATTGGTTGTGCTGCTGGTGGATTAGGGCTGCTGCTCCTCAGCGAGAGCAGAATCCTCCTTACCATCACTAATCTCTCCTCTAGCAAGCTCTTAATTGAGCCATCATCAGCTGATCCAGGGGTTAAACATCAATTAAGATAATGAGCAGAGTGCAGTGTGTAGGACTAGAACATGCTGCTCTGTCAGTGAGGAGGATGGTAGTGGAGGTAAGGATACACGCTGAATGATGCGCAACAGATTTTTTGTTGGTTTAGAACTCGCCAATAAAATTGTTATTACAGTGAGTGTCTGTATGTGAATGAAGTTAGAATTTGGCATATTTGTCTTGAACTTCATTGGAGTGGATTTTTTTCTGACACCATTGTACAATGAGGGTAGGAATCAGGAGGTACCTGATTGTTTGATATGGTCTCAGTTTGGTTGGCTTCGATATTTTTTCTATGATTCGGTGCAAAATTATTTTATTTCACATTTTAAGTTCAGTAAATGACCTTACTTTTTGATATTTTCTGACTTTCATTTTGGGTTTTTTAGAGTGGTAATGATGTATATGGGGAAAAAAAAGGAAACAAATTTCTGGAATATTTAATTAGACTGTTGCATACCTGATTAGTCTTGTGCCTTCTTTGTTAAAATGAAGACAGACCAAAAAAAATGAGTAAACAATGAGTAATCTATAACCACAGATACCTGAGAATTGGTATTCGAAATTGCAGTTGGTATCTGCAGTGGTATTGGTGCATGTCTAGGGATTACTTGATTATTGGAATGTGGAAGCAACTGCTTTCTTTTAAAAGGGAAAGACTCACACACTCACTCGCTCAGTTCTTTGGATTGAACGTTTGTGCTTGGAGTCATGGAGTTCATTGGCAAGATAAATAAAGCTTTAAATGAAAGATCTATGAATAGATTAATAATCTGTGTTAGATGAATGTGCTATATTATGAAAATGCTAAAAGACCAAATACATAATTAAATTGACTTGCTGCGAGTTAAGCACTTGATTGAGTACTTCATTACTGAATGTAACAAAAACAATATGGAGTGCAAACATCTGTTAAGATTGGTGATCATTTTACTGTAATTTTCAGAGTTGTAGAGTAAATTAGTAATATAAGCAATTCTTCAAAAACCTTGATACCTAAAATAGTTGTATTTTTGCACATGTTGACCCTGTTTCAGTTCTGATAGGAAAGTGGGGAGAAAAGAAACAAAAATATTACACATCTGGATTTTTAAAAAGAAGAAAAAATATTTAAAGTACGCTCCACTTTGAGCAAATGAGCTAATATATCATGAGAGAGTGGAGCCACGACCTACAATGGCTATATACTCTGTCTCAAAGGTGCATGTTGAGAAAGGAAGAGGAACTCCACTTATACAGTTAGAGATCACAATGATACTTTAGGGGAAAAAGGGGAAAAACAAGAAAAAAGATGATCTGTAGAGACTCTTGATAAATATGTAACAGATGTCGTTATAAAATAAGCCATGTTAATAATAATTAGCAATGGCACAATGCAGCTGTTTTTTTTCTTTGATATTGATATTGAAACCTTGAATAACAGCCTATAGTATTCTTTACTTTAAAAACTACTCAACTTAAAAGTGAGCTATTTTTAAT